GGTCGAATATGGCTAAGCATTATCAATCTACGACAAACTTCGACCCGAGGAATTCTGCAAAGCAGTTTGAGAATGAATCCATTAAAGTAAATGTTTGCCCTAGGCGTAAATAATCCCGATGGCAATTTTAATCGTCTGTCTAATTGTTTTTAAATGCTAATAGGCGATTACCTGAGTAAATTGTCTTCTGTTGGCACCACTAAGACTCAGTGATCAGAGAGATTACGGATGAGCATTAAGCCCGCTTGTAGGACTCAATGGCGGTGAGTCACTCAGATTGAGTAGATTTTCACTGGATTTGCGTTTGGATAATCTATGGGTCGGGCAGGATTGACCAAGAGGCTCGATATCGTTAGGATCAGCACAACCTTTTGAAATCAGAGAGTCGTAAAGGATTGTGTTGTAGTCCTTAGCTGCCTAAATATGGATTAAAGCATAAAAATAAAACTGATAGCGATGATGCCTATGATAACAGAAGAGTAAGAAGGATGATTTAATCAAGATATATCAAGGTTTAAAGGTCAGATAGTTAAATTTTATCCATACAATGAATGCTATAAATGACGGTATGATAATAATAATGATGTGATAGCAGACTAACAAAAACGATGCAAGTTTTTTAGGAAATAAAGATCATAAAAAGAATGCAGAAATGTTCTGATTACCAAATTGATCTCTTCAGTATCCAAAGTATAGGCGTTTACAACTGGCCCGAGCTGCCTTTCCACATAGGAAGTTGACATGGCAGATTCGTTGAGGCCAGTAGAGCCAAAAAAGCCATGCACATCGGAACTTATTAGACGTCCATTCGTGGCTAAATGGCGCTGGTCGTCGGTAGTCAAGCAGTCAGCCAGATGCGAACAGCAGAGAGGGAGGCGCTCAGCAAGAAGAGGGCCTTGGTGGGTCAGCAAAGGAGTCAAATAGCTAAGGAGAATAATAGGAAGAATATTTCAAGATTATGTGAAGCCCAAAAGACTAAAAATGTATTGAGCTTTGATTAAAACTCCAGCAAGGTTGAATATATTAAATCAAAAAACAGTAAAATTCAAATAACACAAAAGCTAAAACATTAGATTTGGGTGAAATTGGCCACCAAGTACAGTAAAAACAATGAAACCCATTTGTTTGTTAATTAAAACTAGAATAAGATCAAGGAACGAAAATTTATAAGTGATTTGCAATCACTTTT